ATGTTCATGCCCTCGTAAAAGGCAGGTAGCAGCTGTATTTTTGCCACACTCCCTTAGAATGTGGCATAAGAACATATAAGCAGGGATCAGGACTTTTCTTTAGAAAGGGCTATCCGGGGCTTTACTTTTGCAACCGGCCCCCTGAGCCGACTGATTGCGTCAATCAACTAAGGGGAGCCAATGGGAGACTGCCACACTTCAGCTTCCGTTCCAACGGCTACAGTGCAGCAGGAACCCCCAAGTGATTCCTGGCCCTGGTGGTCAGCTTGTAGCTAACCCGAGGCTGGACACAGTCCAGCTCTGCAGTACACTGCCCCCAGCTTGATTTGAACTCTACCCCCAGGCACAGCAGGGACAGGAGCAGGGACAAGGAGCCCCCGGGCCCCCCTTTTCAAAGTGCCCCGCCTTTTGAGGTGCCCAAGTCGCTAGGGCGCAGGCGCGAGCGTGCTGTGCGCACTCTATAACTTCTTCCCGCCTTCTGCCCCCTACCCAGTGTGCATTGCGGCTGCGGCAGCGGCAGCAGCAGGCACGCGTCCTCGTGGCTGTGGTGCTCCGGCACTCCGGCCTGTACGGATTTCCAGCAGGTAAGGAGTGGGGCCCTGGACACCGAGAGCAACCCAAACTGCAGGGCTTCTCCTTCTCCCACCCAATGACCCTTGCAGTCGAATTTGGATATAAGTTTCCCCTGAAGAGGGATACCATGAGATTAGGCCTGGCACCTAATCATAGTGACTAGCCTGAGAACTGCAGAACCTAAACCTTTCCAGTGCCACTGCAGTTTTCACATCCAGGACAAATGGCTCCAGGCCTTCCCCTGAAGGGAAAGTGGCTTTGGCCCTTCACCTGGCCTCGCCCAAAATCCACTGACCAGAATGGGGGGGTGTTTGAGGTACGGGGTGTGTAAGGGGTGAGGAGCATATGGGAATGGGAGGCTTGGGCATACAAATTGGGTTTACGGGGGGGGGGGGGCAGGGCTTGAGTGGGGGTGCAGTTTAGGTGGGGGCAGGGTTTGGGATGGTTGCAATATGAGTGGCAGGAGGAGGACTTGGGTGGGGGCAGGGATTGAACATTTGGGTGGAGCTTAGCGTCAGGGCGTGCGCATGCGTGGGGTGGGGCTTAGGGCGGTGGAGTTTGGCGCCAGGAAATGCGCATGCGTGGGGTGGGACTTGGTAGGGCATGGCTTGGGAAGGAGTGGCACTGGGCGTCAGGGCTTGCGCATGCGTGGGGTGGGACTTGGTGGGGTGGGCTTGGGAAGAGGTGGGGTTTGGCGTCAGAGCGTGCACATGCGTGGTGTGAAGCTTAGCGGTAGGTCTTTTGCATGGGGTGGGGCTTGGTGGGGCGTGGCTTGGGAAGGGTTGGGGCTTGGCGTCAGAGCTTGCACATGTGTAGGGTGGGGCTTGGTGGGGCGTGGCTTGTGAAGGGGTGGGGCTTGGCGTCAGAGCTTGCGCATGCGTAGGGTGGGGCTTGGTGGGGCGGGCTTGGGGAGGGGTGGGGCTTGGTGTCAGGGCCTGCGCATGCGTGGGGTGGGGCTTAGTAGGGCGGTGGAGCTTGGCGCCAGGAAATGCGCATGCGTGGGGTGGGGCTTGGTGGGGTGGGCTTGGGAAGAGGTGGGGCTTGGCGTCAGAGCTTGCACATGCGTGGTGTGAAGCTTAGCGGTAGGTCTTTTGCATGGGTGGGGCTTGGTGGGCGTGGCTTGGAAGGGTGGGCTTGGCGTCGGCTCGTTGGTGGGGCTTGGTGGGGAGGGGTGGGGCTTGGCGTCAGGGCTCGCGCATGCGTGGGGTGGGGCTTGGGAAGGAGTGGGGCTTGGCAAGGAGTGGGGCTTGGCAAGGAGTGGGGCTTGGCGTCAGGGCTTGCGCATGCGTGGTGTGGAGCTTAGCGGCAGGTCTTTTGCATGGGGTGGGGCTTGGTGGGGCGTGGCTTGGGAAGGGGTGGGGCTTGGCGTCAGGGCTTGCGCATGCGTGGGGTGGGGCTTGGGAAGGAGTGGGGCTTGGCGTCAGGGCTTGTGCATGTGTGGGGAGGGACTTGGGAAGGGGTGGTGTTGGCATCGGCTCTCGTATGCTTGGGGTGGGGCTTGGTGGGGCGTGGCTTGGGAAGGGGTGGGGCTTGGCGTCAGAGCTTGTGCATGTGTAGGTGGGGCTTGGTGGGGCGGGCTTGGGAAGGGGTGGGGCTTGGCATCAGGGCTTGCGCATGGGTGGGGTGGGGCTTTGGAAGGGGTGGGGCTTGGCGTCAGCTTGTGCATGGGTGCTTAGCGGCAGGTCTTTTGCAGGGGGTGGGGCTTGGTGGGGCGTGGCTTGGGAAGGGGTGGGGCTTGGCGTCAGGGCTTGCAAATGCGTGGGGTGGGGCTTGGGAAGGAGTGGGGCTTGGCGTCAGGACTTGTGCATGCATGGGGTGGGACTTGGGAAGGGGTGGAGCTTGGTATCAGAGCTTGGGCATGGGTGGGGTGGGGCTTGGCGTCAGAGCTTGTGCATGCGTGGTGTGAAGCTTAGGGGCAGATCTTTTGCATGGGGTGGGGCTTGGTGGGGCGTGGCTTGGGAAGGGGTGGGGCTTGGCGTCAGGGCTTGCACATGCTTGGGGTGGGGCGTGGCCTTGGGAGGGGTGGAGCTTGGCTTCAGGAATTGCTCATGCATGGGATGGGGCTTGTTGGGGCATGGCTTGGGAAAAGGTGGGGCTTGGCCTTAGGGCCTGCACTTGCGTGGGGTGGGGCTTAGCATCAGGGCTATTGCATCGGGTGTGGCTTGGTGGGGTGTTAGGGCTTGTACATGCTAGTGTGGAGCTTAGCAGGTCTTTTGCATGGGGTGGGGCTTGGTGGGGTGTGGCTTGGTATGGGGTGGGGCTTGGCATCAGGGCTTTTGTGTTGGGTGGGGTTTGGTGGGGTGTAGCTTGGGGAGCAGTGAAGCTTGGTGTCAGGGCTTGTGCATGCATGGGGTGGGATTTTGTAGGGCGTGGCTTGGAAAGGGGTGGGACTTAGTGTGGGCAGGGTTTCTGAGGGTGGAACATGAGTGACAGGAGCAGGGTGGAGCTTGGCATCAGGGCTTGGGCATGCATGGGGTGGGCAGGGTTTGGGAAGGTTAGAACGTGAGTGGCAGGAGGAGGGCTTGGGTGGGGGCAGGGATTAAACTTCTGTTGCCATGGAGCTTAGCGACAGGGCTTTTGTGTGGGTGGGGTTTCGTGGGTTGGGGCTTGGGAAGGAGTGGGACTTGGTGTGAGCAGGGTTGGGGGGTGGAACATGAGTGACAGGAGGAGGATGGGATGGGGCTTGGCATCAGGGCTTGTGCATGGGTGGGGTGGAGCTTGGTGGTGGTGGATTTAGGAAGGGGTGGAACATGAGTGGCAGGGGTAGGAGTTGTGTGGTGAAAGGGAATTGAGCTTCCGTGGGGCTGGAACTGAGTATCGGGTTGGGTGGGTATGGGACTTGGTGGGGCAAGGTGTGAGAGGGGTGGAAAGTGAGTGCACGGGTAGGATTTGGGTGGGGACGATACTTGTACTGTGGGGATGGAGCTTGGTGTTAGGGCTTGGGCTTGGTGGAGGCAGGGATTGCTGGGTGGGTCTTGGGTTAGAGGCGTTGGGGGTGGGCCATGACAGTGGGTGGGTATGTGGGCGGAGTGGGGGCGGACTTGAGGGTGTGGCAATTATCTTAAAGTAGGATTACTTCTGCTGCAGCAGTGGACTCTAGGGAGCAGTTTCTTGTATCCCTGCAACAGGGTACTTATCGACAGCTCTGCAGACTCAGAATGGGTACAGCCTGGGCAGGGACACGTGGCTCAGAACCCTAGCAAAATACCTCTGCCTTCTCTTCGGACAGATCCAGTGGAGCAGTACCCTCTGCCCTAGGGCCGGGAACTGCCTGACTGGACAGAACTGGAGAGCTGAACGTTGAGTGCGGGTGGAATCCCCGCATCTGCACTGCCAGAGGACCCTACTCTGACTGGTGAGCAACTGTGAGGTGGGCCTACATTGGGAAGGGCTTCTGTAACTCTGGCAAGGAGCAAGAGGGGGTGGGACTGCCTGTCATTGTGTACAGACTCTTCTCTGTAGGGTTACAACTAGAGGGATAGTAGTCTGTCTCCTGCAGTGCGGCACTGAAGACCTTTTCTGGGTCCCTTTTATGTCCCTGATTCCAGCGCCTATGCAATTTAAAGTCATAAGCTCTTGATTTTTGAGCACTCAATCTTTGCTGCCCACCCCCCACCTCACATCCCCCAACCCCCTTTGTTGCTAGGACACTTCACTGGTTGGAGGCCAGTGACATCACCTGTTGCTCTTAGAGGGTCTTAACCTTACCATATGACACCTGTCTGTGATAGAAACCCACCCGTGGTCCCCACTGTTCTTGGTATACATGACAACACTGCACCTCTCCAGGGATCTCCACACCCAGCAGTTCAATTGCATTGTGTAGAACTCCAGCCATCTTTCTGATCTGTTGGGCATTTACTGAAAAGAGGAGAACTCTGCACCTCCCTCCTCCCACCGTTGCCCTGGCAAAGAGGATGCCAGGTGCCCTGGGCCTGCACGGCCTTGTGCCACGGAGTGGGATATTCTCCTGGTCTCCTGCTTGGAGGGCTTTGTCAGGGTCCCCAGGCATTAGGCCCTGCCTTCTAATGCTACCTTTTCACTGCAGGCATCTGCAGCTCGTGTGGCAGAGTCCTTAGACTTTGAGGAAGAACCCACAGCAGGAGGTCAGCAGGGAAGCGATGAGGTGGGGGGAGTTTGGACTGGGGAGACCCCTCTATACTCTACATACCACCAAATGATTTCGGGGGGCCTGGGAGGCAGGGACTGAATCCCTGTGAGTGGAGGTTGGGGCAGAAGAGGGGCTGCTGGTGAGGGTGGGAAGTGGGCAGTAATGATGCGTTCACTCCATTTGCATTACAGGCTGTGGAAACCTGGGACTCTTCTGCCTTGTACTTGCCATTGGCTCAGAATTGACCAAGTCTGGGTCAAACTCTGTAGCAGATTACTACCCCTAGTTTTAGATCAGTCCATAGAAAGTCAGAGCAATGGCCTTGACACTGTTAGAGGATTGGTGCAAGGGGATGGACCTGGACCCCAGGAAGGCCCTGCTGATTGTGGGGATCCCCGTGGAGTGTACTGACGATGAAATTAAAGAGACTATTAGGTCAAGCTTACAGCCCTTGTACTCATACAGGGTGCTGGGAAGAATGTTCAGAAGGGATGACAATGCTAAGGCAGTCATCATCGAACTGGGAGACACTGTCAATTACGCTAAGACACCCAATCAGATACCAGGAAAAGGAGGTGCCTGGGAAGTGGTGGTGAAACCCCGTAACCCAGATGATGAATTCATCAATAGATTGAGTTACTTCCTGAAGGATGAGGGCCGGAAAATGACAGATGTGGCCAGTGCCCTGGGGTGTGCCCTTCCCACTGAGGACCAGGAGCCAGGCGCTGCTCCCCAAGAGAAATCCACAGCTTCACAGTCTGAGAAAGAAAGCATGTGGTACCGAAAAGTCAGAATGTTTTCAGGAGATGTCTTTACAGGCCCAGGCGAAGATAACTTTGAAGCCTGGCTGGAGCAGGTCACTGAGGTGATGCCGGTTTGGCAAGTGTCTGAGACAGAGAAGATACGGCGTTTGCTAGAGAGCCTCCGTGGCTCTGCCCTGTCCATCATGCGGGTGCTCCGGGCCACCAGTGACTCTATGACTTCACAGCAATTCCTGGATGCCCTGAAGGAGATCTTTGGGAGCAAAGAGGACTCTAGAACCGCGCAGTTTAAGTTGCTCCATACCGTTCAGAAGATTGGAGAGAAAATCTCTGCGTTTTTGGTGCGCCTGGAGCCGCTGCTGCAGAAAGCCATGCAGCACAGCCCCACAGCAGCGCAAAGAGCAGATTTGATTCGCCTGAAACATGTCCTGTCTCATACCAACCTGTGCAGCAGCCTCCGAGGCAAGCTCGAGCTCCTGGATCAGAGAGGGTGTCCTCCCACTTTCCTAGAGTTAATGAAACTTGTTCGAGATGAAGAGGAGTGCAAGGTCACTGCGGTGATGCTGAAGCAGAAGCAAAAGCCTGCAGAAAGGGGCTGCAGGCCTTCCAGCAGACAGGTGTTCGAGGAAGTCAGTGATTCTGCACCTCAGGTCCCCCAGCAGGCAGTGCAGTATTGTGATAGCAGCACTCAGACCATCCAGGAAGGGATTGGCACTGTGTCATTTAGGGGCAGGAAAGTGCCCCGCTACAATACGGAAGAGGAGAGCCACAGCCTGATCACATGCATTAAGGTCGAACCGCAATCGCCAGAAAGGGAGAGGCCTCAGCTTATAGGAGAGTCGGGAAACGAGGCGGGGGCTGGGGGCACGAGCCACCCCGAGTCCTAGGCAGTACAGGCTCAGAAAATCCAGGTACCCTTTCCCCTAGCAGGCAGCAGGGCAATTTTAACAAGGGGAAGGGGCATTCCATGCAAATAGAGTATTTGAGTGGGGCAGAGGGGCAGGGCAGTCAGGTACAGGCTAACCCCCCTCATCCTCCAGCAGCTGAAAGGAACCCCACCCACGAGACCAGATTCCCCTCAGGGGAAGACAAGTATAGAGTCCTGAAGAGGTGCCAGCGACACAAGCAGGCGGCCAGCACACCCAGAACATGGGGTGCTCTAGCCATGAGCAGGGGCCCCACCATGGCAGAAGCTGAAGGAGTTGCAGCTGAGGACTCGGGCATGGGCCCTGTCGTCTGGCCACCCCGAAATGCCCACCCTGTGGACTCAGAGCTAAGAATGCCTACAGGCCCACCAGTCCCACCAAGCCCAGAAGAACCTTCCCCTGGGCCACCCCTACCAGAAGAAGCCAGCACCTGTGAGGAACAGCTGTGTGATGGAAATAGGGTGACCCCCCGCAAGGGAGGCCGCAGGGTCCAGCCCGTCTTCAGAATTATCTACACTGCTCTAGGGAAGCCCCACGAAGGCACCACCCTTGAGCCCCTGCGCCAGTGAGACCAGGACAGCCCGGCCCCAGCCTGCAGGCAGTTCCTCCCCCTGCAGCCTGGGAAGACTATAGGGGCAGGAGGGCAAAGGGAGGAGAGCCCCAGGGGAGAGCATGGGCTCAGCCTGCAGGGGGGTGGGGACTTGGGCTAGTACCACAGCTGGATTGGGTGCGGGGGCGGGGGGGTGGGGAGGTGGTGGAAATTTGTTCTAAAGCAGGAGGAGAAGGGGGGAGAAGGAGGGGGAGGAGGAAAACTAAGAGGAGAATAACTAGGAGGTGAGCAGGAGAGGAGGAGGAGGAGAATAACCAGGAGGTGAGGAGGAAGAGGAGGAGGAGGAGAATAACCAGGAGGTGAGGAGGAAGAGGAGGAGGAGGAGGAGAATAACCAGGAGGTGAGGAAGAGGAGGAGGAGGAGGAGGAGGAGGAGGAGGAGGAGGAGGAGGAGGAGGAGGAGAATAACCAGGAGGTGAGCAGGAGAGGAGGAGGAGGAGGATAACAGGAGGTGAGGAGGAGGAGGAGAATAACCAGGAGAAGAGGAGGAAGAGGAGGAGGAGGGGGAGAATAACCAGGAGGTGAGCAGGAGAGGAGGAGGATAACAGGAGGTGAACGGGAGGAGGAGGGTAACAGAAGCAGGAGGAGGAGGTGAGCAGGAGAGGAGGAAGAGGATAACAGGAGGTGAGCAGGAGAGGAGGAGGAGGAGGATAACAGGAGGTGAACAGGGGAGGAGGAGGAGGATAACAGGAGGTGAACAGGGGAGGAGGAGGAGGAGGAGGATAACAGGAGGTGAACAGGGGAGGAGGAGGAGGATAACAGGAGGTGAACAGGAGAGGAGGAGGAGGATAACAGGAGGTGAACAGGGGAGGAGGAGGAGGATAACAGGAGGTAAACAGGGGAGGAGGAGGAGGATAACAGGAGGTGAACAGGGGAGGAGGAGGAGGATAACAGGAGGTGAACAGGGGAGGAGGAGGAGGAGGAGGATAACAGGAGGTGAACAGGAGAGGAGGAGGATAACAGGAGGTGAACAGGGGAGGAGGAGGAGGAAGAGGATAACAGGAGGTGAGCAGGAGAGGAGGAGGAGGAGGAGGATAACAGGAGGTGAAGAGGAGAGGAGGAGGATAACAGGAGGTGAACAGGGGAGGAGGAGGAGGATAACAGGAGGTGAGCAGGAGAGGAGGAAGAGCATAATAGGTGAGCAGGAGAGGCGGAGGAGGAGGAGAACAGGAGGTGAACAGGAGAGGAGGGGGAGTTATTGGGAGGGGCAGTCTTTTGTTCTGTTTGTTTATGCAGGGCCACTGGAGGTATGGAGCCAGCAGGCAGGAGAACGGGAACTGGCCTGGCGAACCACCACTCAGCCACCAATGCCAAGGCCACCCCCAGCCCCAAACCCTGCACCTTGGGCAGCCTGCCTGGGAGCACCCCTGAGCAGCATTCCCAGGCCTAAATGAGGGGCACCTGAAGACATCTGCCACCCGAACAGACCTAGGGCAGGGCCAGGCCCCAGCATGTCATCCAGAGGGGGAGGGAGCCCTGCAGTGAGTGGACATCACCAGCATCCATAGTCCTGCAAAGACCAATCGTGGGGCCCTCAGGGAGGGAGGCTGGTGGGAGGGCCGTGGTGGGCGGGGGGGGGGGGAGCTGAGGCACCTTGTCAGGGACCCCAGGAGGAGGGGGTGTGAACTATGTACACTAGTGGCTATTAGAAATTCTTTACTGTTGTTATTCCCTTTTTTCAATGGATTCAGTAAATGTTTTTCTTCAATAAATTTTCTTGTTACATCAGAAATTCGCCTCTGCTATGTGCAATTGAGAAAAGGGTCTGCTGGGTGCGGGGTTGGGGAGCAATGATGGCCTGGGACTCCAAGTCAGCATTGGGGTATAGTAGGAGCAGGGTCCCTGAGGGCTGTGAAGTCCTCTGGGCTGGATGGTGTAGGTAGCAGGAATTTGTGAGCACAGGAGAGTATCTGTTTGCATCCCCAGGAAGCTCTGGGATCCACCAGGAATAAGTGGGTTAGACTTTGAAGGGAAGGGAAAGGACAGAAGGCAGGCCAGAGGCCACAGGATCCCTGGCAGAGGTGTGGGGGCTCAGAGTGCCCATATGGGTCAGAGAGGTCAGATGTACAGTCCCAGAGACCAGCTGGCCACAGAAGGGCCCTGGAGTGAGGTCGGACACCTGGGACGCCCCTGCCAGGTTCTGGATTCCAGGGTGGGGCTGGGTGCCTGCCTACCCTTCTGTGATCAGCCTACCCTTGCCAGCTAACAAGTGGCCAGCATTGGTATAGCCACGGAGGGATGTTTGTGGGCATGCAGGTGCGTGATAGCTGAAGAGAAAAGAATGTGTGTGAGGGTGTGTGTGTGTTGGGCAATTGGTGTGTTTGGAATCCTTCTAGGTGGACTATGTGTTGGTAGCCACTTTCCCACCTCTCCCATGGAGAGTTGACAGGAGGAGGGCTAGCTCCTGGGCCCCGGGGATCAGCTCTCTTCCTTCTGGGCTGGCACAGAAAAGAGAGTTCCCTGCCTGCCACCTGGCACCTGGAGGCTACCCCTTCCAGCCTTTTGCCCGTTTCCCCCAAAGGGATAGTATTTACAAAGATATTAGTGTGAGTTTTTTTTCCCTTGTTGTCTTTTCTCCCTGTTACCCCTGGCTCCTTTACCTGGAGCTCAAAGTGCAAGGTTTGAAGCCCAGGTGATTGCTATCCAGTTCCCCAGACCTGGGGGACAGGTCCAGGTCCTCTGCTTCTCTGTACCCCACATTCCCCATAGCTGGGATTTGCCAGTGCCTGGGAGCCCCCTCTGCCCAATGAGCTTTTCTCTACTCAAAGCCCCAGTCATTTGGGGGCTGCCTCTCAAGGCCACAATCCCCCTCTAGACGCCTCCTGCTCCTGGAGCCCCAAGCAAGTCCTTCCTTGGAGCACTTTGGCAGCAAGCACCTCCAGCTGCCCTGCTCCTTCCTCAGTGGCCTGCTGACAATGTTGAACTCACTTGAATCCTGTGACCCTGGAAAAGAGCCATGGTTAAGAAATCTAGCCTGACCAGCATGGCTCAGTGATGGAGCATCAACCTATGAAACAGAAGGTTACAGTTCAATTCCTGGTCAGGGCACATGCCTGCATCGTGGGCTCTATCCCCAGTGTGGAGCATGCAGGAAGCAGCCCATCAATGATTCTCATCAATGTTTCTATCTCTCTCTCCTCCTCCTCCCTTCCTCTCTGAAATCAATAAAAATATTTAAAAAAATAAATTAATTCATTTAAAAAATCTATTCTTTTATTTCCTGAAAAATGACTTACTGTGAGGAACTGCTATGGCTGAATTACATCCTTACCAAAATTGGTATGTTGAAGTCCTAACCCCCCAGTGCCTCAGAATGTGCCTGATTTGGAGGCAGGGTCTTTAGAGATGGAATTAAAGTGAGGTTATCAGGGGACCCTAATTCAATACAACTGGTATCTTTATCAAAAGGGGACATTTGGGTGCAAAGATAAATAGACACATATAAAGGAAAGATGATGTGAAGAGACACACAGGGAGAGGAGGCCATCAGCAAGCCAATGAAAACCCTGAAACAGCTCCCCCTCATGGCCCTCAGAAGGAAGCAACCATATCTTAATCTCCAACCTCTGGCCTCAAAAATTATGAGACAACACATTTGCAGTGTTGAGCCACCCAGTCTGTAGTACCTTGTTATGGCAGACTGAAAACTCACACAACCCCTTTTCCCCATATGACTCAGGGATGCCCCTGTTGTTTTCTGTCTGACAAGACTAAACAAGGACCTTCCAAATTTCCCTTCTTTGTCTCATTTCCACTAATCAATAAGTAGGAACAGAGTAGAGTGCTTATTACCAAAATTTGGTTTAGCTCCTCTGCTTCCCAAAGACCCCTGAACTTTGGCCCAACATCAGCCTGAGCCAGCAGTGACCTGGTAGTAAGGGGTTACTTTGATTCTTCTGGCAAAGGGACTTTGCTTTGACCCTTCTGTGAGGCCTCTGTTTTTCCCCCTCTGACTCCAGATATGGCATGGGTGGGGGAAGGGTTCCCTGGCGCTGCCTCCCAGGAGGTTGAGCAGGACTTTCTTTGGTTTTCAAACCCAGAAGTTGGGAGAGGGCCTAAGAAGGGGGAGGTGTTTTGAATCCAGAAACTGCATAGGAGGTTATATCAGCTCTCCCATCTGGGAGATTTGGGGAAGGTTCCCTTGGCTCTTTGGCCTCAGAAATTGCAGGAAAGGCTCTATGGCTCTATGAACTGGGAGACTGAGGGAGGTTCCCTCACTCTCTTTCCCAGAGATTGCTCTCAGGGTGGGAGTTGGGGTTAGGTAGTTCTCTCTGCTCTTTGATCTCAGAGATCCCATGGAAGGGTTGCATTGGCTCAAGGATGGAGGTCCTTAGGCTTCTGAACCTGGAAATTGAATGGGGTGTTTCCTTGGCCCTCAGACCCAGGGAGTGTGGGAATTTAAACAAGTAAGAGTATTTCCTGGCCCTGTGAAAGTTTTTTCTCTTTGGTTTAACTATCTGCTAATACCCCTTTTCTCTTTCCTGCTCACTACATGCTTCAGTATTACAGAACTAATTCAGTTCAATATCT